AATTCTTGCCAAGAACTTCGCACAATGTAAAAGAGCAAGCTGCCAGTCAAAAAGAGAAACTGTACTTAAAGTGAATATGCTGAATGAATTACTTATCAGTATATGAGAACATCCCAGACAGATCAGGTCTACGGTGTGTGAATGGTGGCTCAAGGAGAGAAATATTACAGTAGAGTCAAGTCCCAAAATTCATACTCAGGTCTGGATGTCGCTTATACCCAAAATGTAAGGGACTTACTAGCTTTTCCCTCCCTGCATCTCTCTCACGAGATAGCAAGACAGATGAAGACTTTTGAGGTGGGAGTGAGGGTGGGGGATTTGTTGAGGAATGAATAAACAAAGAAGACTTCCCCCCACTTTTCTTAAAAAAAAACAAAACAGGAAAGAAAGATGGGATATCCAAAGGTTGACAAATAATGTCATTGGAAGAGCCTGGGAAAGAAAAAGGGCACCACACAAATATCTCACTCAAACCCTTAATCTCTGTTCAATTTCTGTTACATCTGTCCTCTTCAGCATTACTAACAGAAGCTGTCCAAAGGCAGATATTTAACTCTGTGGGGGCTTCAAATTACTTTCAGATCCCCAGTATCCCAGCACTGCCCCTATTCTAACGGCAACCCACCCCTATTGTGCCTTGCTACTTTATTGCTTTGTTAATTTGAATAGATTAAAGACAGTTTCTGTTCAATTGGTTCAACATTCAATGACTACCCAACACAGTTTAAAACTAGAAAAGGATGAAATATTAAAATGCCAGCTTTTTTCCTGATGTTAAGTCAAATCCTAGATCTTATTCAATTAGTTATTACTCAGGTAAAGCAGCCAGTGAGGTCAGTGGTAAATATTCCTAATGCAGCTGTCACCACTGAACGTGACTGCCAACGTTTGGCTTGGAAACACCAACTTATATAAGTCACTGCTGGGAGCTATTGTCTTTTTTGAAAAAGATGATAAAGTTTTTGCTTTTTTAGCAAACTGTAGAGTGAAAGGCAAGCTCATTTTTTCCTTTGGCCAGCTTATTGGAGAGAATAGGCTTGGGGCTGCACATATGTTTTTTTTCCTTCTTTCCAGTCATTCTGAGGGGAGGGGGGCAAGTACATTTTGTAGTTTCACAGATGTACCCATATGAATAGAGGCAATTTAATGAAGGAAACCTAAACCCCATATTCTTTCTAACTGAAGCCTGTTTTAGTTTAGTGGTTAAACAGTTGGCATGCAGTGACTGCTGGTAATCATGCTGACCAGAATCACTGTATTGGTACCTGTTGCTAATTTTCTGTTTCTTGTATCCACCTTCTATTGTTGTCTTACACATTGATCATAAATTTTTGGGCCCAGGACCATCTTGTTATTATGCCTTGAGGCAGTGTCTGATGCAATGGGCCTGGAGCATCTGATTGTTGCCATAATACAAATAAAGAAAAATAACAATAGTTTACTGCTGCTAAAGCATCCGTGTGGTACCCATTATTTTATATTAGTCATGGATAAAGAATTATTTCTCAAAGCCACAGTGGGCATGGATTGTAGAATACGCCCAGCAACTAACACTCCTTGTGCCTTTCTAGGAGAGCAGCTGCAGCTAAGCCTTTAAGCATTCTTCTGCATTCCCATTTCATGCCACAACAGTCAGAGAAAAAGAGGGGAGAAGTAGGCCCATAAAGAAGGAACTCAACTATATATGATTCTGTAACGTGTGTTGTATATGACAGAAAAGGAGTGATGCACAATAGCCATATGTGATAGATCATGCGCTTCAGCTGAATGTTCTTTTGCTTCAAGCAGTAGTATGCCTTATCCGTACCTATGGTATTGCAGCAATTTCTTTTTGTTTCTATTTTGGCAATAAATAAATAGAAAGAGTGACAGTTGCATTAGTCCAGTTTTCCACTGATCAAAGTATTTTTAGTTCTGAAAAGTTATTCTGCAAAGGTTTGTCGATAGATCTATGAAAGATAGTCCCTAAACTTGGCATGAGATTTAAGCTTTATTGCAACCAAGAAGGGCTCTTTTAAGTGTTGGCAATGTTTTCTTTCTTCCACTGAGCCATCAGACTGAAGCCTGATTTCCTTAGGGGGTCTTGCCTTCATCTTTTTTTCTTCAGCCTTTCCCAAAATGCACATTTTAAAGCATGAACCAAACCTAATCATTCTGGGGAAGGCTTTCCAAGATCAGGACATCAATAAACAAGATGAAAAAAGTCAAATTAGATTCTACAGGAAGGAGGCTATTCTGTTGACATGTTATTGCAAGATTATTCTTGAAAGCCTCAGAACAGTGAAGGAGTCAAGCTGGCAACAGCCACTTGAGCAATGGGTCAGTGCCATTAAATTGAACAATTGGAGACTTTGTCTCCAATGCCTTAAGCTGCAAGATATTTTAATGTTTGAAAATACAGTACAGCTTCACATGAATAAAAAAGAGACCAG